TGTGTGTGTGAGTGTATGTGTGTGTGTGTGTGTGTGTGTGTGTGTCTCCAGCGTGAGGAAGGGGAAATTGAGCGCTGTCTGGATCTAATAGGTGGGAAAATGTTAAGTTCCAGAGAAATGGACTTCAGATTTAAGTGAGAATGGAAACTGATCCTATTAGTGTGTGCTGAAGCCTTTAACTCCATCCAGAGCGAGACAGAGATCTTCTGATTTCATTCACTGCTGCCCTTTAGAAGCGACTTAAAGTATTCACATGTTTTCCTGAAGACAAGATTACAATTTACCTCCATCATCCTGTTCAAACATTTCCATCTTCTTGGTTCTTCATGTCTGGATCATCATCACAGTCTGAAGAATCAAGCTCATGCAAACATTTAAACCGGGTCATTTGTGTAAATTCAGCTATTATTTTATGAAAACATCTGTTATGTCAAATAGATTACTGTATTTTCCAGAAAATTAGTCACAACTGACTATAAGTTGCACTGGGTCAAAATTGCTAAATTGTTGAGACGAAAAAACAGTTAAAGTTTATGTCACATTTTATTATTACATTTAGAAATAATCTAAAATACAAATGCGTTAAACGTGTTTCAGTTCCTCACTTTACAACAAATCCTTTAAATTTAACGGTATTCAGAAGTATAAAACAAAGAAATTATAGTTGCATTCATCATGAACAATATTTATTATAAACACCAAGCATAAACACATTTATTTAAAGTGAAACTGTAAATGTGGGAAATGCACTTTAATATGAAATATAAGTTGAAATATAAGTGTTTCTTAAAATACAGCATTCAGGACAGTACTAAAAAAAGCAACAAAACAAACCAAGCAATTTTTAAGATGCTTCTTATTTTGTTTTTATATTATTTTTATTTTGCATATTCTACAAGGTGTATTTATTTAGCAGGCGCTTTCATCCAAAGCAACTTACAAAAGAGGAACTAAAGCAGTTGGTCAGTTGTTATGAGCACACACGCGCACGTGTGTGTGTGTGTGTGTGTGTGTTTGATATGCATTGAGCAGATGTTGATCCGATGTCTCTGGACTGTTCTGTGATGCTCGTCTTATTTCTGCTGTATTAGATGGAGTCTGAGATGCTTTCTTTCATCTGCTCTTCTGCTCTGATTGCTGCTTTGATCCTGGAGGATGATAGGAGCCGCTCTCGTGTTTCCAGACCCGCAGAAACGGGATCAGGGTTCTGATTCCAGTCCATGAGCCACACAATCAGAAATCAGTTCATGTGTATCTGTTTAAAGGGACAGTTCACCCGTAATCATCACTCGGTCTTCATTCACTCCAAACCTCTGACTGTGACTGACTGACTTTGTACATAAACACAATGAATCTTCACACAGCTCTTACAACAGTGAATAAAAAACGCCATAACGATGCACAACAACATCTGTTCTTCACAAATCTTCATTTGACTTCAGATGGACTTGGAATGTAGAGCACAAATCATAATTCTGACTTTCCCCCCTCAATTGCGAGCTTTAATCTCGCAATTCTGAATTCTGAATCGATGGCAAGAAAAAAAAGAGAGAATTGTGAGATATAAACTCAGAATTGCATGAAAAAATAAATGCAATTGTGATATATATAAACTCAGAATTACGAGAAAAATTTAATAAAATTGTGAGATATAAACTCAGAATTACAAGAGAAAAAATAAAATAGAATTGTGAGATATAAACTCAGAATTACAAGAGAAAAAATAAAATAGAATTGTGAGATATAAACTCAGAATTACAAGAGAAAAAGTCAAATTGAGATAAACTCAATAATATAAATGTAAAATGAATCAAAATAAATGCTATGCTGTCTTCATAGTGATTTTGCTTTCTGGATCTCCACAAACAGTACATGATCACTACAAACTGCTGTATTGTTGCGTCTTTTTGTGTTTCACAGTCCAATAATGTAATAAGTTATTTTAGTTTTGGTTTCTATAAATGTAATGTGAATATACGTGAAGTGTTTAGGTCTCAAAGCAGATATGATGTGGTTTGAGATTCTCACCCAAATGAAGATGTTTTCCTAAACAGGCCTGCGGCTGATCTCGCGTGTTGTTGGGAAGGTTTTGTGTCGGTGTGGGCTGTTGTATTGAGAATGCTTCTGGCCTTGAAGCATTTCTGTAGTGTATTTTTGACATTCTGCTTGTGTAAATGCTTGGTGTTTTTCATCGTTGTCTCTCTCAGAGCCCATGCACGGCCTGCGGCAGCTGAAAGTGGTGGACATCAAGGCTCGTCAGGTGACGCTTCGCTGGGAGCCGTTCGGATACAACGTGACGCGCTGCCACAACTACAGCCTGACGGTGCAGTACCGCGCCAGAGGAGGAGGCAAGGAGGAGAGCAGGGAGGTGGCGTTATATGACAGCCGGAGCTCCGCCCCCCAGCACACCATCCACAACCTCACGCCCTTCACCAACCTCAGCGTCAGGATGCTGCTGCGCAACCGCGAGGGAGTCAGAGAGAGCCCCGAGATCCACGTCCAGACCGATGAAGACGGTGAGAGAGAGCGGAAAACTGGCAAACATCTTTACCAAATACAGATTTATTTATTCAAATATGAAATATTTCAAAAATAAGTACATATACGTATATATATATATATGGGTTTGGCTTATTGTAATATACTAATTTGGTGAATATTAACAATAAAAAAACTGAAATAAAATAAAATATTAACTGAAATAAAATTAAATTAAATACAATTAAATCAAATTAAATTAAATTAAATTAAATTAAATTAAATTAAATTAAATTAAATTAAATTAAATTAAATCAAATCAACATTTTATTTAAGCTAGTTGCCCAGGCAATATTTCTAATTTTAATATGGTTTAACTAGATGTTCTTAAATAACTAAAACTGTATATAAAACAGTTATTGTATGTAATATATAATATAATATATGTAATACAATTAATAATTAATAGACATTAGGGGTGTAACGGTTCACAAAATTCACGGTTCGGTTCGATAGGACACACTGGTGTCACGGTTCGGTACGTTTTCATACTGAACCGTTTTTAAAAAATACCTTTTTTAAAAACATTTTAATCGAGGAGAAATATATAGCCTAATCTTTTGTTATCCTCGCAGCACATCAGTTATTTGGTAATTATTGCGGGGCAAAATAATTGTAATTTTAATTTAATAATAAAAGTAACTTAATAATAATAATAATAGGCCTAATAAAAATAAGAATGTAGCAGGCCTACATTAATTGGAAATGCCAAATATCTTAATATTGCCAATAATTGATGTTTTTGACAATATCTCTGGATATCGTCGATACAAGATCGTCGTGTTTAGACGCGTCCCAGCAAGAGGAGGTTATCGCGGGGCAGACAGCACGTTGCCTGTCACGTCGTTTAGGCTCCTTGTTGAGCGCAGTGGCACTGAGAACATTATATTTCACACACTTTAAGCTGGTTTATTTTCCAAATGTAATAGGATTAGTCCAACGAATCGTTGGGTTTGTAATGCGCACCGAACCGAAAGCCTCGTACCGAACGGTTCAATACGAATACGTGTATCGTTACACCGCTAATAGACGTGTAAAAAAAACTAAAAATGTCAAATACACGCAAAAACTGAAATAAAATGAAAACTATATAGACATAAAAACCTACTAAAAATTACAGACACAACAAAGGTTTAAATTAAAATATTAAAATAACACTGATATACATATTACTTGCATACATACATTATATATACATTAGTTTTACTCTAAAAAGTATATGTATTTTTAGTCTATATATTCCAAATAAATACATTCGTAAATAATTTTATGTATACTTTTTGGGACTTTTAAAAAAATAAATTGTATACATTTATGAAATTAGAATTTTTTTTTATTTTATGTGAATTATAAGGAAAAAGACCCATTTTTATCAGCTTTCTGTTCTCTAGTTCTTTAGATAAGCATCTACGTCCCAAAAACCACTGATCTGAAGATCCTCTGAAACATCAGGACATCATTTTATTGACTTTATTAATCCACAGAGAACCATATAGCACCTCAATAATCTGAAACAGACACAAAAGGTTCTTGATCAGAAGAGGCTTCTTTGCTAAATCTGAAGAACCGTTAAGTTCATCCTCAGCACTGTAATGTGTCTGTATACAGATGAAGAGTTCGTTCTGTCCGTGCACGAGCTGCTCAAACGCTCCGCTGCATCTTTCGTAAATCGCTGACATTTAGCTTGAATGTCTAATTACGTCCCCCATTAGCAGAGCTCTTCTGACGGAATAAACGTGATTTTATTTGTTTGTTTCCAGAGATCGGCAACCTTTATAAATAATTAGACACCTGGGCCGCTTCCCGACTGGATGTTAAACACACACACGCTCTTTTGTTCTCGCTCCGAGTCTGTGTCAAGTGAGACAGACGTGAATAACGTTCCTGCGAGAGGATGAAACGATAAACAAACGAGAAATAATCTCTCGCACGCTCACGGACGTGTTTGGAGGAGGAGAACGTGAGCGTCTGAGGGGATTGTGTGCATTTCTGTGGATTTAAGGATTCAAAACCAACATTTGATCTCATTTTAGTAATAAAACACCTTCACTTATTAATACCAATGGAAAATATTGAACTTTTCAGTATGAACCGGTCACTTTGGGACATTTTAGCAGCCGAACATTCATTTAACGTTTGTTAAATCTAACTAAATTGCGGAGAATGTCGTATGTATATTAAGAGCTGCTGCTGTTGCTGTGTTTTGATGGTTTGTGATGTCACTTCCTGTCAGTGCCGGGGGAAGTTCCTCTGGATTCGATCCAAGCCAGTGTGTACGAGGACAAGATCCTGCTGAAGTGGAGAGAACCGGCGCAGACCTTCGGCATCATCACTCAGTATGAGGTGAACACACACACACACAAACACACATCATTCTGCGTTAATGTTCCTCAGCCAGCCTAGCAACCCCCTAGTAACCCCACCAATGCCCTAGCAACCTCCTAGTACTGCCCAGAACACTCTAGCAACCCCATAGTAACCACAAAAACGCCCAGGAACCTTCTAGCAACCACACAATTTGCCTTAGCAACCACCTAGCAACCCCCTAGTAACACCAAAAATGCCAAGCAACCTCTTGGTAATCACCCAAAACACTCTAGCAACCCCATAGTAACCACAAAAATACCCAGTAACCTTCTAGTAACCACACAATTTGCCCTAGCAACCGCCTAGCAACCCCCTAGTAACCAAAAAAATCCCCAGCAACCTCCTAGTAACTACAAAACTTGACTATGCATACATCTAGCAACCTCCTGATAACCACCCAGAACACTCTAGCAACCACACAAAAGGTCCTAGCAACACCCTGGCAACCACCCACAACACCTCAGTCCAGCAGCGGTGAGTTTTGCACTGGCAAATGTTTTAAACATCAGAAAATTAATTTTTAGTTCATGTGTTTCAGTTGATTCAGGGGTTTAGGATTCAGCTTTTCTTCACGGTTTTGAGCATCTTGACTGTGACAGGTTATTTCATAGTTAACCGTTACTAGAGAAACTGGCTGAAAACGAGTTGTTCCATCGGTCCAGAAAAAAACAAGAACTGTCAAAGTCCAGCTCTTCCCCATGTGAGTGTGAGAGAATGTGTGTGTGTGTGTGTGTGTGTGTGTGTGAGAGAGTGTGTGTGTGTGTGTGTGTGTGTGTGTGTGTGTGTGTGTGTGTGTGTGTGTGTGTGTGTGTGTGTGTGTGTGTGTG